GCAGTGCTTTTTTTTTCTGTGGACCGCAAAATAAGATACTTTGTATGGACAAAAACAGTTGAATCCTTCTTCAGTGTAAATCAATGGGGTCCAAACAACGCACTCACAGAGTCCTGCATCTAATGTACAAAAATAGAGCCTCTGGTATTAACATCCATCTAGGATGATCCGATCACAACTGGACGGCACTAAATACAGCGGTCTATAACATTTGGTGATCTGCTCACTGAACCATTTAGATGTTCATTAAGCAGACAACTTTATCCAAAATTTGATGTGTGCCTTCAAACTAAAATCAATGCCTGAAAATTTCAGAAAAGCACAAGACTTCAATGACTTCAATATGCAGTACATGTATACATCCAAAGTTTTGCTAATAGCTAATACAGGAGCTCTGGGGAAATAACAATAAACACACTGCTATAATACATTAGGAATCAACAGTGTGTTGACATTTTGTATTTTCAACATGATGTATGTAGCCATGGAATCAGAGATCCGCCCCTTGGCGCGTCACTGTCTGTGTAGACACAGTGTAATGCTGTGAGAGAGCTGGATAAACGAGAGTCAACCCTGGGTGACCCTACAGCATGAATAAGGTAATGAGACAAAGCCCTGATTTATTCCCATGTGAATATGAGGCACAGGCATTTGTACAGGTGAGTCCACCGTAAATGCGAGGCTGCTATGCTGAGACCTGTCAGCTAGCCTCCATCATCTCGTGCATGCCCTCGTATCTCACAGATGTGTCATGTCATTCACTAATGGAAGTAGCACACTACAGGCTTTTACTGCTCGCACTATGCTACCGGGGAAGTCAAGGTCGCTTCGGCTTTATAGTGATTCACTTGTCATGTTCTTGTGTGTTGATTTGTGAACTGTGTGGAAAGACGGTTTGTGTATGTATGTCTAAGACTGTGGTGTGTGGGAACGGTCACCTTTTGCTTTTCATGATGAATACCTAATTTTACACATGGTTTTAAAAATTAAAAGGCTTTTAACAGGGCGTTGTGACATTTCCAAATTCTCTGATTTTGTTTATCTCGCCATCATTGATTCACAGTGTCAATGCAGTTACAAATATCAAAGAAGCTAAACAGAGGAGACCACACAAAAATGGCTATCACGGTAATGTCAGCACTCCACTCAAAGTCTTTTCACCTGAGCTGGAGTCTTGATCTTGGGGTCACTGATGTCAAAATGCTATTGGTTATGGTGTGATTTCAACTCGTTTTATTTAGTCTCGAACAAGACTGTATGACATTCACATTACATGATTTGACTGATTTTTACGTAGAAAGGGCAACAGCGCACTGCATTAAAATAAATGATCATTCATGTTTTCATAACCGCTGGCCAAATTCAAAAACGAAACTAAAATTAAATAATCTTTGAGAGCAAGGGGGCCCCCTGGTGTTTCGGGGGCCCTACGCAGCTTGCGTATTTTGCGTATAGGGAGGATCGGCTCTGACTGTTATATTGTGTCAAAATACATTTATGTCTTTGATTTTATAGAACCAGAATCTACTGATGTGGGGCTGACGTGAGAATAACTGACTCACTGATATTCTAGCAACGTCAACATCAAGGTTTTGGTTCTCACTGGAAAGCATGAACTGATAAACATATATAAATTGAATGCAACGTAAAGCATCCTTCATCCTTTGATTAATTATTTATCATCTTTTAGGAGTGGTAGTTACTTGCTTTTCAGTGTAAAATATTCTCTATGGCTCTGTTTAAAATGTGCCAGCTGAATTTTTTATATAATAAAGAAATGAAAAAAAGGAAAAGTCCTTCAGTCTGTAAGGAATGTGTATTAATTTAGAACCTGAATGAATGTATTTAGAAAGTTGGTCATTCAAAACCTTGGCAGATACAGAAAATGGTAGTACTTGAGGTTTCATTGTTATTTCAAAAAACGATTAACCCCAACCTAAAATGTAAATGTGCAGTCAGGACTAGAAAATGTGTCCCGTGTCCCATACTCCATTTTGCTGACACTGTTCTGTGCTTAAGGTGAATAAACGTCCCCCAAGTCGTCATTATCTCGGGCTTGCTTGTGATAAGATAAAGCGGCCCATATAGACTGGTTCAAATGTGACGTCTCTTGTGGGTTATTATGCTACATTTGCTAAAAGCTGGACATTTAGCGAAAGTATATATGCGAGCACACAGAACAGTTCCCAAGCGACTGTTTTGCAAGCCAATCTACAGTCGTCCTGAGGGGAGACGGACTCAACACTGTTCTCTGTTGAGCTGCTAATCACGGGACACTGTCTAATAATTGACTCAGCACAGAAGGAGGGGTGGCCCGGGCCACCCTGAGGCTTATAAGCTCACTGCTAACAAACACAGCCTGTCATCCCTTTCTTCAGCTCATGGAAAGTTAAAATGAGCAGACAAATTGGCGTTTTCACGCAGTCCCCTAATGATGCACTCATAAACGCACTTATTATGTCACATTTGGGATTCTCTTTGGTCGGAGGGCTGCTGTGATCAGCAGAGACTGTTTAACTCGAGCAGACATGGGACAGAGCTGCAGTGGAATGTCTGGCCCTTGTCCTGAATGCAGGGAAAGCTGTGGGGACAACTGTCACCGGGACGAGCCCTGTGTGGATCGCTGCTGTAACCTGTGCTGTCAGTTCTGTCTGGACGGCTGCTGTCTCATCTGCCCAGACGACTGCAGCTACACGGTGTGTTACACGTGCACCACGATTGCCGACTCCTGCGCTGCCATTCTGACCACCCAGCAGCCCAGATCTACAGAGAAACCAAGAGAAGGTAGGTGGAGTAACAAATGAGTAGTGCACATGTGTTAGGTCCACCATGAGTATATTAACTAGTACATTGCTGTGGCTCCAATGTTAGAATTTGATGGCATATTCCAAGCTATTGGTAACACTTTACATTATTTGCATTTACATGATTTATTTACATTATCACCTGTGTGAAGAAGAAATGCACTTTATTGTATTGAATGTGCACTTGTACTGTACTTCAAATCTTAAAAGTGCATGAAAACTGTACTTGCAGATAATATAAATCAATTAAATAAAAGCTACGTACGTGTACTTATGATTTCAGAGAGTATGATTTCATTATGTTTCTTTTAAAATGCGCACTTTATAATAATGTCAAATTACAAGTTACTTTAAAGCACATTTTAAATGATTGTTTTGATCATCTTTTGTCATACTTTAAAGTACACTTGTTTTTATGTGTTGCCCAACATAAAGCAAAAGCAAAGAACTTGATTGTAATTTCAACTGTAGTGTATTTGAAAATATCTTTAAAAGTTAATACATTTGGTAACAATTATTTTGATAGTCCACTTTAGACGTTCTGCTAGCTATAAGTAACTTTGCAAGTGCATGTTAACTTATTCTTCTATTCTTCTAACCCTAAACTAACAGTATGAGAGTTAGTTCACATGTAGTTGCAACGTTACTTATAGTTAGCAGAAGTGGGTCATTGAAAATAAAGTGGAACCATGAATTTGCTAAATTGCAACTTCATCGTTACTAATATGTGCTTACAAAAATATCTAAATATATGACATACAAGTTTCAATAACAATGGCATTAAAAACTCCGTTCCTTCATCAGTCCAAAAGATGCTGAATTACTAGTAAATGCTTTAATCACATCTCGCCTTGATTACTGCAACGCTCTTTTTTCCGGATTACCAGTAAGCTCCATCTCTCGAATGCAATATATTCAAAATTCTGCAGCGAGAATGCTAACTTACACTAAACACATTTGATTACTTTTCTAAATTTCTAATGTTTTCAACTGTTAATCATTTTCAAACATGTAAACCAGGCGGGGTAAACTTACAATATGTGCTCAACACTGATTAATTGCCGGCCTGCCGAAATCTTCATCCCTTGGATTAAGATTATAATATTTTCATTTTAAAGGAGACATTGAATGCAAAATATCTTCATTTGCGTATAAATGTGTCTTAGCAGTGTGTGGACACAACCACCTTACAATAATCCCCCAAAAACCTAAACAGTCTCAATTATAAAGCCATTTTGATTTTGGAGTGAATATAATGTCATGTTAATGTTACCTGTTATAATGTTTTTTTTTGTTTGTTTTTGTTTTTTTATGATACTGCATTATTACTGTGGTATGCAACTGCAACCACATGTTCTGGACTTGGAAAATGTCTTGTCCATGTATGTAGGAATGTATTTGCTTCTGTCATTGTGCAGTGTCCTTGAGCTTGGGAAAGGCGCTATATAAATTAAACTTATTATTATTATTATTATTATTATTAAAATATATCTTAGTTTACCATAAAAGCTTGTCAGTACATTCAGTAGTACATGTTAACCTATATATAGCAATTGATCAAAAGTGACAGTAGACATTTATGTTGCCAAAGAAGAGAGAGAGAGTAAGAGATGCCAAATAAATGTAGTTCTTCATCACAGAATTGATTAAAAAAAAGCATGAGTAATATAAGAATTATTAAGATTTTACGTAATGTTTTTATTTTCTTTCTTTTATTTCTTTATAGGTTCTCATTTGGAAGAAGGCCAGGTGATTTAGATCATCTGATGAATGTAATGTAAACTAATGGGCTGGATGAAGACCTGACTCCTACTTCATGATGCTATTCTCTGTATAGCAAGAGACTGAAAAACATGAAAGAAGTTAATTGAAAGTGCATTTGTAGATCATTTGCTACCTCTGTAATGAAGCCCGTGCTATATTGCGTATACACTGTATTGTACACTACTGTATATATTTAATTGCCAAATACAACTGATTCTGTGAACACAAGTGTCATCTGTTAAATGTATCTAGAGGATCTATTCAAAAGTAAAACCCCTTGTGCAATCATGCAAAATAAAAAAGGCTTTGCTTGACGTGGTATGCGCCAGAATGACTGACTCTCAGAGGACAGGCAGGAAAAACTTGATTTGCACACCCTGTGGAACGCGCCGTCACGGAGGTACAGTATTTATATTTAGGAGTCCACCCAGGCGTGCGTCAGATCAGCCCTGTCAACATCACAAGAAAGACAACTTGGGTACATTTGAAAGAACTTACTGAAATTGACTTTTGACGGTGACTTTTAAAAGGTGAAAAGAGGACAGGAGATACAAAAGAGGTAAACAAGATCATCTGAGAAGCAGAGAATGTCGTTTCTATGCTCTTTTCTCCGTTTGTGGCAGTGCAGTGATTGAGGATTTTAATTTATTCTCAATTTCAAGAAAAAAAAACCAGAAGTGGGACTGAAGAAGAGAGGAAGATTGAAGAAAAAAGAAGACTCTAAACGTCTGAAGACACTTGACAAAGGTACATTGAATTGAAATGGCAGTTCTCTGGTAATTTGAGTAATCTGAAACATATCCATCGCCTGCAGCCTTGTCCTCGGGTAAATTATTTGATTGGAACTGATCTTTTGGTGTGAAAAGTTTGGTTTAATAAAAGCGTCCTCCGTTCTACTTCTTTAGGAGCTTTAAGCTGTGAGTCTGTGAAAGAGGAACAGATGACTAGGAGGAACTCAATGCTTGTTTTGAATGATTTTGCTGGCATTTCGCCCTTGAGCTCTGCTCTATAGAAGGGCTGAGCTTAATACCGACGCATTCATCTCACAACTACGTCACTCATTGCACCCGTTTAAGTCATCACGGAAAGCCAAATGCAAAAAAAACAACCGAGCACCGTCACATGTTTAGCTAATTGTTCAAAACAAAATTCTGACTCGTGCATTCTCCATGTCAACAGAGTTCAGATAAAGCTTACGTGATCCATAGAGCATTGATTTATTTCCATATCAGTTAATGACAATGAAAGGCTGTTCTCAGATACTGGAACCTAATTATAATCGATTGATTCTCTGCATCCGTGAGTGACGGCGTAACTGTCTCATCCTCCCTCAGGCCTGCAGGAGACCAGCTATGGAGGAGGATTACAAGAGACCACCACCATCCTATGACGAAGTTATAACCGAGCAGCACACGAGCAACACTAGTCAGAGCCGCTCCGCTGATAACAGGCAGGGCTGCTGCTGCAAATGTTGCATTAGCACCAAGAACTGTCTGATGAGTCCGGAGTGCGGTCGAGCTCTTAACATCGCCAGCGTGGTTGCCATGTGTGGCATGTGTATTCGAATGTTTGTCTGTAAGTACCCAGAATGACTCATTTATATGTCTTTACCATTTAAAAGTTTGGGAATTTTTTGGGGAAAGAAAAAAAACTTTTATTCAGCAAGGACACATTAAAATGATTAAAAGTGACAGTAAAGACATTTCAAAATGTTGCAAACGATTTGGATAACACTTTATTTTAAGGTATCCTTACATGTACTTACTATTATAATAACAATAAATTATGCATAATTACTTGCAAGTAACCCTAAGCCAAACCCTAATCCTAACCCTAACCATACAGTACATGTAGTTAATTAATATTACTCAGTTCTTAAACGTATAATTACACTGTAACAAGGACACCTTAAAATAAAGTGTAACCGAGATTTGTTTTGAATTCTGTTTCATTCATTAAATAATCTTGTATTACGTAATACAAATAATCTTGCATAAAATGTATCACGGTTTCCGCACCGATAATAATAAGAAATGTTTCTTGAGCAGTAAATCAGCATATTAGAATGATTTCTGAAGATCATGTGACACTGAAGACTGGAGTAATGATGCTGAGAATTCAGCTTTACCATCACAGGAATTAAATTATGTTTGAAAATATATTCAAATAAAAACACTTATTTTAATTTGTGATAATATTACAGCATATTTTTGCTGTAATTTTGATCAAATAAATGCAGTCTCAGTCAACATAAAATACTTTTTTATTTCAAATAAATAAATAAATACAAACCCCTTTTGCATGGTAAATAGGAGGCATTTGGCTGAAGAGGCAAGACAGGCAGTAGCTCCTCAAAATAAATCAAATAATAATAATTGAGTAAATAATAAGTAAAAAAAAATGTTAGATGAGTCAAATCGGACAAACTGGTACAAATTCTAATTACAAGGTAAAAAACTTTACTTTGGTGCTATCCTAATTAAAGTGAACTTCAAATGACTGCTTATCTTTAGACTTAAAAAAAATAATAAATGTGAGTGAGCCATCTGTCTGAATATATGGTATACTATTATACAAATAATAGCAGAAGAACTTAGACTTTGAATAAATAGTATAATTAAATAGTATGTTTATGTCTCAAGTGTAAGATCGCGTTCCATGTGCCTAAAGTGTGTGTGTGTGTGTGTGTGTACCTGTTTTTCTATTCTGGTGGGGACTTAAACCTGAATACACACAGACTCATGGGGACTCGTGTCACGGTGGGGACCTAAATTGAGGTCCCCACAGGTAAACAAGCTAATAAATCACACATAATGAAGTTTTTTGAAAATCTAAAAATGCACAAAGTTTCCTGTAAGGGGTAGGTTTAGGGGTAGGGTTGGCGTAGGGCAATAGAAAAACATGATTAAAGAAGAACTGCAACAGGAATTTTTATTAGACTCAAAAGCCCACCACGTACATCTTGTTAACATAGCAAACATAGCACTTCTGTGCTCTGCTGTTACAGCTCTTATATTATTATATTACAGCTTCACTGTTATTTCAGATTATGTGAAGGTGACTTGCTGAAATTTGTCATCCACTTACTGTTTTTCTTTCTTTTTCAGAACACAGTCTCCTGTGGACCATTTATTCCAGATCTTTCATCCAGTGGTGGCCTTCTCAAATTAAAAAGGAAACAAAGACATTTGCTCTGTTCCAAAACCTAGTGATCTGCAACATTTACAAGCTTTCCCCCAATACGAATCCCAATGCTGTTCCAACTAGGATGCAGCACTGCATTTATCCTTAACAGATAAGGTAATCCCAGAACGAACTGACTAAAATTTCCATTTCGAATAGGAAACGTCAATTGTGAAGTATAACTTATAAATACAAAGTAATTCTGTACTGACAAATATCATTGAAAAACACTGCCATGTCATACAATCTAGTCTCCCATGTGATTCATGGGCCTCATTCATGAAAAAGTAGCACAATAAATTCATAAATCGTTTGTAAAATCATTCCTATATTCAGTGTGGCATTTAATTAAATCGGCATGAGTGACCACTTAAGGTGCGGTCACATTTATCATTGTTAGATGAAATAGACAAGTAATTTCAATAGGGATCCAAGTTATAAGGAATTTTCCAACAGAAAGATGTTTGGTTTGAAAATGAATTCTGTATGAGCTAACAACATGCAATGACAATGGGCCTTTTTTTGTCTGCAAAATGTTGCTAATGTGACTGTACCTTCCCAGTATGTAATTCCATTTTGAAAGACAGTAGTGTTAAACAGTTGTACTAATATTTTCTCTCTAATCCAAGTCCTTTGTTTATGTAGAGCTTTATACAATATACTTTGCACAATACTAAACAGGAAAGAAACAGAATCAGTGATGCAAACTTAAAAAATAAGAGGCCATCCAAATAGGCCCGTAACCAGCTATGAGGCCACCGATGTCCGGACCTCTGTACATTTTTCATGTTCAAAAATAAAATTTGTTCTTTGAATGACTAATTTGCTGTTAAACTCCTCATATGAATGCCTGCATGACATGTATAATTCAGTTTAGACAGTTTGCAAGAATGTTTAGCGTCCGTGGTATGGCGTAGTGAACGTGGCTTGAGAGAGTTGTGAGTCAGGGCGCGGCGCAGCCTTGTTGATCCATCTATTATAAGCGTTCTGGACTTGTCTTTTCCACTTAATTTAACACTTTAGAAAGTTAATAAAATAGGAAGTTGCAGTTTATCAACGATATCTTATCTTATTTGCAAAAGATTGGAAATAATTTCGGTTTATGTTTTATTTATTTTTAGTTTTTTGTTTGTTTAGTATCAATATCTGGCAACACTGCTGATCGCCGGCACTTAAATTTGAAAGCAATCAAAAACGCCCATGGACAGGTTTTTGCTGACAGTATACGACATTCGGTAAGGGAAACGCAAAAATTGTCATGATATTATCTGTCATAAACGTTATCAACGCTGTCAAAAACAGTAGCATTTAAGACTAGTACACACAGATCTGTAGAACAAGTAGATTACAGAATGAAGTGAAATATGCAAAAACTAGCATGAAGAAGTCTATGCCATCATTGCCATGTCATTCAGTATAGTTACATTTTCACAAATCATGCTATAAATTTGCATAAGAGCACTAGACAAAGTTATTGTAGTTATGTATTGTTGCAATAAACAGCTGATAAAATTATCCACCCTTAAATATAGTAGTGTTTATAGTGTATATAATGAGTTGTATTTGTAGGGGTTATTATAACACAATTCTTTAACACCAACCCCCATCATATCACCAGTCGAATCGGGGTGTCGAATCTGTATGGCCGTTTGACCCTAAAGTTCATTATTTTACTTTATAAAGTGTAAAATATTATTTGCTTCAGAAGGCCTTTATTAACCCACCAGAGCCATGTTGAGTATGTTTATGATGGATGGATGCACTTTTTTGAGCTTCAAACTCGTGGCAGCCATTCACTGCCATCATAAAGCCTTGAAGACCTCACTAATTTTCAAAGTCTGGGTACGGCCATGCATCCAAATTCTGCTGTAAAGCAGCTCGAGCAAGACACTCCAGAACCTAAAATAGTTGCAGTCATTTGGAAATGTTAATTAAGCTCATAATTTTTTTTTCCTTTCATAAATTGGAGCATGTAATTGGATGTGGCATCCACCTGGTATCAAAACTTTGCATTTATCATTAACATTTCTTCTAAAACTTCTAGTGCGAAAATCTAATTTATAATACTGAATAATGTTTTAAATGATGTGCACTAGACAGACAGGCTAATAAATCACAACGCTTGATTATTTTCCAAATTGTGGTGGATTGTTTTGCTTTAAGACTGTAAAATATTAAACCTGTTGAAAGAGAGTGTGGAAATAAGGATCTTCTCCACTGTGGATATAAAGCTATCTGTCTTATAGCGGTACATAAACAAAAACCCTTACAGCTGTAGTATTTTACCTTCAGGAGTAATATTCATCCAGCTAAAAATAGATGAACTCTACACTCAAAAATGTAAAATAATAAAGATATCTGACATTAGCAAATAAGTATGAATATGGAGTCTTTCTTTTTTGTAATTTTTAATAGCATTTGCAGCATAATCAGATGATAATTGTCTCAGAGGAAAAAAAGAAAGAAGTGTTTTTAATATTTTTTTAATCATTAAGAGAGAATAATTTATGATGGCCATTTGGGATTAAGATGACATGGTTGCTGCACTGACATTTTTTATCTCCTAATTATACCCTGAATATTTGGTGTGTCAAGAATCAAAGGTCAAGCATTTCTCTGGGGCTTATAATTATTCCGTTTTTCTCTGGCTGCTCTCGCTCACTGGCCCATTTTTCAACGCACGAGAAAAATCACAAGATGTAATCAGTCTGAAGGATCCAAGTGTTTTAGTCCATGTTCCAAATCACAAACATAATATTGGAATCAGAATCCATCAGAGTAATGAAGGTAATCCAATACCATAATCAAAACACACAGGCAGATATGCAGTGAACAACGGAACAAATCACAGATACAAACCACTCCGAATGAAATACACATGAGAGCCTTGAACAAAAAGAGCAAGAACAAAAAGAACAGATGGTTTTATATTTGCTGAACAAAGCAAGGCACATCTGTAACAACACAAATGAGCGAAACAGTAGCTTGTGCGGTACATACTGCCTACTGTAATATTTATAGGATGTGAAACAGAACATTTTAAACACTCATTACATGGCATGTTTTGATTATAGCCAACAATGAGGCAGAGCAACATGTGTGTAACACCAATCTTTAAACTCAAAGATGACCATTTCTTAGCTTTATATGCTTGAGATCTGAAGCAAAAGTGTTGGTAAATAAATGTTTTATTGTTTTGGATTTGTTATTGTCCAAGTCAGATATTGTCTAAGTTAATTCTTTACCTTCACTCTCAGTGTGTGATGTTTGATTCTCTCTGTCCGGCAGAGGTGAGTGGAAGGTGATTCTTCTGCTGTTCTACACATTGTCATGACCGGTCAATCACTGCATCTATTCCCAATCAGGCAGCATTGGGCAACACTTTGAGTTCTCTGGAAAGTGGAAAAAGTGCACACACAAGATCTATGAATTTCAGTTGCTAATATATTATTACTCAGTTCCACAGCCGGTGGTGGGTATTGATTTCAAGATTAAGTCAGATCAGTGCATATGAATGAAGTGTGACTACTAGGTTGGATTGATAGTCTTCTATAAACAGTGGTATTGTAACGGGGCTGACAAGACGTGAGACGTGCGGATCCACTTGCAAGCTATTTATTAGGAGAAGACAGAGACGTAGTCATAAAACAGGCATGGGTCAGATAATGGCAAACAGGTATATGGCGGGCAAGACACAAGAATAGTCCTAGCTAGCGTAGGTCAACGAACGGCGAACAGAGTCAAAAGAAGATAAGAAACCAAAAAAAACAGGCAAGGCAAGACTAGGCTAGGCTAAGAGGCTAACGAGGACTCTGTAGTGTAGCTATCAAACTGATAAGTGCTAAACAATACTCGGCAGTGGAATGGGATCAGAGTGAGAGTTAAATAGGGGATGTGTGAGTGATAACAGCTGTGTGCAATCAGTGCTGTGCAATCAACTGTGTGTGTGTCATTAGTGCAGTGGATGATGGGATATGTAGTCCGGGGTGATATGCAACAGTGTGTAGTGCGAGAGTCAATGAAATGGGAAGGGTGACCTCTGATGGCTAGCAGACGGAAGTTCATGGACCGGATACGTGACAGGTATGTTCTTGAAGCCCTGGATGACACATCAAACAACTGCCCTTGTGATACATGCCCTCACAAAATGTAGCAGTACTTTAATACTGTGCCCTCAAAAAGTATTTGGAAATTAAACTTAAAATGTATGAATGGCACTGATTTGAAACAGGGGCACGACTAGACCTGCCAACATTTCCAGGTTTATTTTACACAGAGATGCACTGTGATATACTGTGACCCATCTAAATTATTCCATGTAAATTAAGCTCTGAACCTTTTTAAAATCTGTTATATTTGCTCAAAATAGGCTGGTACATTTGACTTTTTTATTTATTTTAATCGTTATTTACTATTATGCATAACAGATGCTCTTTTGGAGTTAATAAAGCATACATTAATTCTGCTTTATTAACTAATATTGGTGTAAAACAAAGGAAACATCAGAGGCCTTTACGGTATTTTATACATACAATGAAAGTAGAAGTAAAGAAAGAAGGAAGGAAGGAAGGAAGGAAGGAAGGAAGGAAGGAAGGAAGGAAAGAAAGAAAGAAAAAGAAAGAAAGAAAGAAAGAAAGAAAGACTCACTGATCTTAGCTGAGAACATTAACAGGAAAGTTCTAAACAAAAAAAAACATTAAAATAAAGTTAAAAAAAAACAATTAGAATTACTCATTTTAATTATAGAGCTGCATTTCAGTTACACTCATTAAATGCCTGTCTGTAAATAGCAATCGTTTTTAATGTAATTTTTTTAAATTCATTTTTGTCATAAATTGGAAGCGGTTAATGTGGTCACTGTTTTGTTTCATATACTTAATGAATGTACCTAATTAAAACAGTTCTTCTGGTATGTGTGATTTCTAAAATGTTGCTACATATCCTCAAGACGAACTGAATGCAGTAAAGGATAGTTCACACAAAACTGTCATCATTTACTTTTACCCCTTTAATTACCCCTTTAAGACTGAATGCACTACATTTTGAAAGGAAATAAGTATTTAGGCTATAGAGAGAAGTTCAATTTATAGTCCTAAAACCTGGAAGAGAATTAGCATTTTCAAGCCATGGGTTCCCTCCGGAATTTTGTTTTGGGATTTTAGCATAGTTGTTATTTCTTGATGTATAACTAAAATACGGTCTGTGGTTACCATGACTTTGAGACTATCATGGTTTGTTCTACAACAGACGTTACCCACAGTCATGCCTCAAACATACATTTTGAAGCAATTGCATGTTTAAAAATAAATAAATAAATAAATAAATGTTGTCAATAAATTGCTAAATAAGGATTGTGAACAGAAAAGGTACAACTAATAACTAATGTTGTTTAGCGCATTCAGTATGGTAACAGCCCACTTCAAGCACAGGCTAATTTTAGGGCTTATATTACATGTGCAACATTCAACAAAAAAGGAGTTTATCTGTCCTAATGTATCAAAAAAATAGAATAATGCCTTTTTAATGCACTTGGCAGTGTGATTTGAATTACTGCAGTGCACACATAAAGAAAAAAAAAGAAGGAACAAAAAGATCCAACAGATTTTTCAAAAAAGCTGAAAATAAGATTGCTATGGGGGAAAAACATTGAGGTAGGGCCTAGTGACACTCCTGCATTATACAACAAAACATCAGACCAAGTAGCAATCATTTTAAAGAC